GGGGGGGGGGGGGGGGGGGGGTGTTGAATAATAACAGTCGCAGTTGTCAACTTGCTATCTGCTGAAGACATTAGTGTGAATGGCTCATTCCAAAAGGATGTTGGACCAGTTAGGAGTGCTGCAGAATAATAGATCCTATTGGTTTCAACTAGGGCTTTTGGTGGTGGGATTGGGGGTGAGGTGCCAGGACCCTCAAGAGGGAAATGAAGTTTTCAATCTGTGTACTGTAAACTCATGAAGTTTTAAACATTTTAAAAAGTATTTTGTCAAAGAGGTTCAGGAACTCTGTTCTAGTGTGTTCCCTCAGGAAAAAAAGCCCTGGTTTCAACAGTTCTTTGGGGGATTTTGGAAGTCTTAGTTGGCATCCCAGAGACTGGAAGAGCATGGGAAAGATGCTCTTCACCTGATAGAGTAAAGGTGTCAATTTCATTTGTTATGATGGCTGGATCTGACATAAATGTCACTTTGTCGGGCTGGGCCATGTGTGCCATAAAATGTAATCCACCCAAAAAAAGAGGGGGGGGGGAATCTAAACTAACACGGCACAAACCTCCTAAGGAAGTTTAGAAAACTAATAGAGGGCCAAAAGTTAAAAACATAATAAGTGTACAAAATAGTGTTTATTACAAATACGTATAAAAATCTAGTAGGGGCCCAAATAAAGACTCATAAAATGTACAAAGTTACAAATACACACAAAAGAGAACAGTGTATGACCTGACACATTTCGGCTCACAAGGGCCTTCTTCAGAGGTCAAATAGTGCAAAATATGACAAGCAACAGAGTCCCTGTAACACATGTAAGGCAACTAACAATAAATACTAAATAAATACAATAGAACCAAAATTGGAATGTTCCAATATGGAATTGAATGACACACAAAAAAGTTTCTATTTGAGGCCACAAATATATCTGACCTTGTGTCAGAAGTTGTTGTATGAACTGGAAATATTATGTATCTTCCAGTTTAGGTCCTAAGAGTGCAAATAGAATTGCCTTGTCAGGGACAATGTGCCATCAGTGCTAGAGGAGATCAAAAAGCTATGAACTGCTATAAAAAGGTAAAGGTTCCCTTGCTCGAAAGCCAGTCGAGTCTGTCTCTAGGGTTGCGGTGCTCATCTCCGTTTCAAAGCCAAAGAGCCAGCGCTGTCCGAAGACATTTCCGTGGTCATGTGGCTGGCATGACTAAACACCAAGGCACACGGAACGCTGTTACCTTCCCACTGAAGTGGTACCTATTTATCTACTTGCTATTTCTTGCTTTCGAACTGCTAGGTTGGCAGGAGCTGGAACTAGAGACAGGAGCTCACTCCGTCATGCAGCAACTCTGGTCTCGAACCGCTGAACTACCGACCTTCCACAGCCTGCAGTTCAGCGTCTTAATAGTACATGGCATTTAAAAATGTTTTGCAATACTTCATGGATCCAAACCCAGTATTTTTTGCTTTATCACACAACCACCACATATGATAAAAGGAACCTAGTTTGTTTTGACATTTCCAGCAACTATTTGAACATTTCGAATCAAATTTAGCCAGTTTCTCAGGAGTAATATACCATCTACAAAACATTTTGTACATGTTTTCTTTGTAAAAAATTGCTTTCGTGATCTTAACATTCTTTTTCCAAATCTGAGACCAGTGGTCTAACTCAATGTTATGACCCAGATTTTGAGCCCAATGTATCATAACACTTTTCTTTTCTTTTAATTCAAATTTTTATTTTTTCCAGGGAGTGTAACAATATAACAATACGTAACAATAAGCTTAACAACAAGAACAGAGTGCTATTACTAACTTCAAGATAACTGTGGAATTATTTATTTATTTATTTATTTATTCGAGTATTTCTACCCCGCCCTACCCCGCGAACGGGCTCAGGGCGGCTTACATTGCATACAACAGGTCAGTATTGTCTGTCAGTCCTAATATCATTAGTTTATATCCTATTTCAGTAGTACAATAAGTTCTGGAGGTGCTTATTCTTTATGATGATTTCACCTTCTGCAAGGTATTGAACCACTGGGAACCAAATTGCCTGAAATGTCTTAGCATATCATAACACTTTTAATGGTTTCATCATACATCTTATAGTCTAACAATAAAACATACATTTTTCTTATGAAATTCTGATCAACAGACAACCTTATCTTATCAATTTCTAAAAGGTTTTCATAAAATCCTATTGCTTTATCTTTAATATACCTTGATTCAATTTGAGCTTTTTGCCACCAGTTTAACTCCGACAATGGTTTCAAATTCAATTTAGAGTCTAATAAATCTTGATACCTTTTTATTGGTTCTTCTTAATATGTCTTCGGATTTGATAAATGCTTCTAAGGGAGCCGAATAAATTTATTTCCTGTACAAGTAACCTATCCCCTTCATTCAATTGCATAAATTCATCAGCAAAGTCTATTTTATCATCCTTCCTTGCTGTTCCAGATATTATCTGATTTCACGGTATTATCATATGATTTAAATTGCAACTTAGGGTTAGTTAGTTTAAGTTTATTGTTCATGGTCATTGGCCTTCATAATTGAAACATATTTGAAACATTAAAACATTTGAAACATATTTAGAAACAAAGTAACTTATAACTTCGGCAGATCATGAGAGGGAGGGCAGGAAGGGTTGCTTCAGTGCTTAGTTCTCCTGGCCCTTTCTTACAGGCCCAGGAAAATGCTGATTGCCACTTTGGGGTCAGGAAGCAATTTTTCTCCAGGCCAGTTTGGTTGGAGATCCTGGAGGGTTTTTTAGTCATCTTCTGGGCATGGAACAGTGGTCACTGGGGGTGTGGAGTAGTGGAGTTATTTGTGAATTCCCTGCATTGTGCAGGGCGTTGGACTAGATGACCCTGGAGGTCCCTTCCAACTCTATGATTCTAAAGTTAAAATTTTGAAACCTCAGCTCACTACAACAAGAAGAATTCAGTTGGGGACATTCTAAAGGGCACTATTCGCTCTGATCTTCCCGAGTGCCAGGACAGAAAGAGCCAGTCTGTAAGAAACAGAAGGCTCCACATCAAAGAGTTTAAAAGATAGTTTTTCAGTGTCTGAAAAAAGCTGTAGATCAACAAGAATCAGACAGGAATTTATTCCTAGGGCCCAAATACAGAGGGCAGGACAAAACACAATGTGGCAGATCTTCCACTGAGCTTCCGCACAGACAGATACATTGGTCAAATGGAATGTTAGCACGGTGACCTTTTAGTAACTCAGTTGGCATAGTTTGGAAATGCAACACTGTAAGTTATGAGCTGTTAAACTGACCAACCTGGAAGCTCTAGAATGATCTTTCATTATGGTTTTATACCATGGGGCAAACTTCCAATGGAAAATAGTAGAATTATCTATTATAGTGTCCCCTTTAAATACCCATTCCCATAAATCCAAATTATTCCCTGCTAGCTAGAATGGAGATCAAATCAGTCAATCCTAAAAGAAATCAACCTTGACTGTTCCCTGGAAGGCCAGATACCGAAGTTGAAGCTCAAATACTTTGGCCACCAAATGAGAAAGGAGCACTCACTGGAGAAGAAGACCCTGATGCTGGGAAAGACTGAAGATAAAAGAAGAAGGGGGTGGCAAAGAATGAGATGGTTAGACAGTGTTATCGATGCAACGGACATGAAATTTAGAAAACTCCGGAGGACGATGGAAGACACGAAGGCCTGGTGTGATGTCATCCACGGGGTCATGAAGAGTCGGACTTGACTGTGCGACTGAACAACAACAACAAAAGCTGGAGGCAATTTAGTGTTGCTTTCTCCTATATACAGAGGTTTCACCAAATTATCAGCAAATGCTCACTGAGCTGTGATATATGCAACTAATATGTAGCTTTTAGTGTCTGAGAGGGAATTCTTGCTGATTTAAATGGAAGAAATAGTCTTTGTATTCTATATTTTGCTGGCAGCATCTCCCTGTTGACCAAATCTATACTTCTATATGACACAGACAATAGCCAAATGAGAAGTTATCATTCTGTTCTGGAATTGGGATGCACTTAAACAAACTTGAAATCACTGCAAAGTTGTAGCCACGTTATTACCAACTCTTTGCCCAATAGTATCGATATGGACTAAGTCATAGGGGTATGCATTAAAGTTTTTTTTCCAGATACAGATCTATTGGCACCGGAAAATATTGGTATTCCTGATTTTTTTGAGATCCCAATACCAGTATCCAGATCCCAGTTTTATTCAAGAATCTGATATTATTTGGCTCCATTATAAACTCTGGGGAATATTTTTTTTTTGGGGGGGGGCTGTTTTTGGAGCTAGATGTCCCAAAATTGCTCCACAACTACTAGTTGCTGTCTATAGAACTCCCAAGTTTCAAGAAGACTGGGTCAAGATTAGGTCCAATTTTAAGGCACCCCCCCAAAGGTGCCCCCATCCATTATCCTTTCTTTTCCAGTGGATGGAAAATCTTGCTTTCTCCAGGGCAAAAGCAAAGAGGAATGCCTGCAGCAACCACTGGTCAGTAACTCCCATGCAAGAATTAATAACAAGACCAGTAGAGCAAATGCAGAACCCAGGAATCCTAGCACAACTACAAGCAAATGTGGGAAGCTCAACAAAACTAATATCAAACCAGAGAAACCCAACAGAATAAATTCAATCAAGCCCAGCAAAACCAATGTCTAACCAAAAAGGTCCAGCAGAACCCAGGACAAATGTGGCAGGTAAAAGCCTAAAAGACACCACCTCCAGTAGCTAATAGCTACACCATTAAAGGAGAAAGAAAACCTTCTCCACACTATTTGTAATTGCTGAGAATGCCTTAGATAAGATTGATGAGGGAACTTTCACAAACAGAAAGAAATCCTCCCTCCTTATGTTAAGAAAAGAAGATAAAAAGCAGACTACCTCATCGGGAGACTGAAATCAGTTAAAATCATTTTAAAAAAACACATCTGTGACAGAGCACAGTCAAAAGGTGTCTAGTTGCATTGAGCTATAAACTGGAAGACCTTTTGACCACTGTGTGATGCAGAGTGTTGGACTGGATGGGCCATTGGCTTGTTCCAGCACCGCTTCTTTTATGTTCTTAAATTTAATATCAAAATTCTATATAATCTAATCTAGAAGTGGGGAATCAAACCCGGTTCTCCAGATTAAAGTCCACCGCTCTTAACCAATACACCATGCTGGCTCTCCTAGAACTGTGACACACCAATTTTGTTACCACGTGATTATGAAATATACATGATGTTAGAGTTGGATATAGTATGCCCCTTATATTTCTGCTTTCACTCCTTACACTCTCAGATGGAAAGTCCAGACAGTGTCTCAGATATCGTTGCTTTCCTCAGCTTCTACACAAATTGGGCTTCTTCTTTTTTCCTTGATTAAAAAAAGGTAAAGGTAAAGGTTCCCTTGCTTGAAAGCCAGTCGAATTCGACTCTAGGGTTGCGGTGCTCATCTCCGTTTGAATGCCGAAGAGCCAGTGCTGTCTGAAGACATTTCCGTGGTCATGTGGCCGGCATGACTAAACACCAAGGCACACAGAACGCTGTTACCTTCCCACTGAAGTGGTACCTATTTATCTACTTGCAATTTCTTGCTTTCGAACTGCTAGGTTGGCAGGAGCTGGAACTAGAGATGGGAGCTCATTCCGTCATGCAGCACACTCGGGTCTCGAATTGCTGAACTACCGACCTTCCACAGCCTGCATTTCAGCATCTTAACCACTTGAACCGTGTTGAAAATTGATGCACAGTGACATGGTGGCAACATGTGCACATGGACAATTTTTAGTAAACAAGTGGACATGTAAGGATGAACAATATTTCATTTCAGGATACTTTTTTCCTGGGCTCCAGTCTACCAAAGTTTAAGATGGAGAAAAAAAGTTGCTAATCTCTAAGGTGCTATTTAGCCTTACCCTGCATGTCTCCAAGTTTAATCAGCCAGGCTGCCGGTTCGGTGTAGAGCCAGTTTGGTGTAGTGTTCTGAAAACGGCACGATCTGCGCTCATGGCCCTCCCCACAGCTGGCGCACGGAGCTGACGTGGTTGAAGTCTTGACCGGTTTAGAGGATGTGGGCCGCTGGCGGACCTGTAGAACCTCGTCCTCATCCGAGGCGTCGGAGCCGACGGTCACTTTGGTGTGGTGGACCGCCTTGGCACGGCGGTCTTGGCATGCCTGTTCATACGCCGAGGCCTCCCGTATTGCCTTCTCCAGGTCCAGGTCATCCTGGCTTACCAATTTCCTCTGAAGCTTCGGCTCTCTGAGTCCCATGAGGAACTGGTTGAGGAGGGTTTCGGTAAGGTTGGCTAGGATCCTACTGGCCCATTGTCTTTTGTCATGAAGCTTGAGGTTTTGGTCTTTGGGCAAGCCCGGGCATGCCCGACTTCGTCAGGCTGTATACACAACAGTGAGCTACTGGCACTAAAGCTGTGAGTGAGTGATTTGGCTACTGCATAAATTAGCTTGCTCTAGAGCCATCATTCCTGAGCTAAGACAAAAATGTGTGAGATGGAGACTAAAAAACTGAGTTAGCTCACAGTTTAGAAGGAACATGGACTATGGGTCTCTCCTGTAGATACTTTCACGTACCTGACACCGGATTATCTGGCCACTTGTGACAGGGACAGTATTCTTTAGATTAGGTTTCTCTCTCTGCTTTTCACTGATCAAGATGGGTAGCTGTGCTAGTCTGTCTGCAGCAGCAGAAAAGAATAAGAGTCCAGCAGCACCTCAAAGAAAAACAACATTTGTAGCAGGGCGCATGAGCTTTCACGAGTCACTGCTCACTTCTTCAGATAACCTGGCGACGAAAGCACATACCCTACCACAATTTTTGTTAGTCTCTGAGGGGCTACTGGACTCTTAGGGTGATTCCACATCTAGCATTCGCTCCACAGTTTCTCAACTGGGAGGGAAAAGTGCAGCTCAAAACCACATTCAAATGCCTTGGGGCAACACCGTACTGACTGCAAAGCCACCCCTGAACGGCCATAAATCTATGCGGAAGGTACCATAAAACCCGATGATCAAAGAAAGTGAAAGCGGCATGCAACGCTGAGGGGAATTTCTCTTCCGAGGTGGGTTTCGCCCTGACCCTTCGGTGAGGGCGGGATATAAATCCAAAGCATAAATAAAAATAAATACCTGAATGTGAACAGAATCTAATTGAAATAAGTTTTACTTTGGCAATACTTCCCGAGAGATTTATTTTACTGTGTGCAATATCACACTCCTACGACTGGCCTCTTCTGTATTAACCACATATCCTGATACATTTGCCATGTAATACTAATAGGTGAACCATTAGGAACATCAGAGTTCTGTCTGGAGAAATTGGCAGTAACAAATGAGCTACGTTCTGTGTAGTTTATGATGCACTGCAGCGGGGAACAGCACAGAGTTTATACGGTTGGGGAGACAGTGATACCCCAAGGATAGGCTCTGTGCTGAGCGCCTTTACTCCTTCTGGCAGTTGGAAGGTGAATGCCCGCAGCAGGGTGGTGAAGAAGATGAAAATCTCAATTCTCGCCAGCTGCTCTCCCAGACAGACACGGGCCCCTGCAGGGGAAACGAGGCAAGACAAGAAGTGAGGAATATAATTCCAGGTATTCTCTAGGGCAGAGGTGTCAAACATAAGGCCTGCGGGCCGGAACTGGCCCGTCCAGAGCTCCCATGCAGCCTACAAGCAACTGATGCAAGGGAGGAAGTGCTGGGGGGGAGTTGGGGGGCACTATGTTGTGACTTCAGCATGGCAGAACAACCTCATCTGCAGCAGTCAAGCATCATGGGAGCACCTGCCCAGCACTGCACTGCTGCCTCTCGAGTCCGCCTATGTGGGTTTTCCTCTCCACCCCGCTCCCAGCCCATGGGGCCTTGCAGCGAGGATACACCAACTCGGAGCTTACCAGCTGCTGTCCTTTATACAGTTTCTATCTCCGATACCTGGCATTACATTTGATGGCACACATGGCCCAGCCTGACAAAGTGACATTTACATCAGATGCGGCTCTCATAACAGGCCCGTAGCTATAGTGGGGCATCTTGGGGCGAGGCCCCCTGACTTACTGGCCAGGCCCCACAACTTCCCATCCAGCCCAGGGCCCCCAAGCAGTGGCAGGTGCAGGGAAGGAGCCGGATATTCCTTTAATTTGATTAAGAAATTTAAATGCCCCCAACTTAAATTTTTTTTGGCTACAGGCCTGTCTCATAACAAACAAGTTTGACACCCCTGGTCCAGAAGGTATCACCTAAGTGAACATCTAGCTTGGACTTTGGTAAGGTAGTTGATGGGTCAGGACTCCCCTCTACCCCTTAAAGTTGAATTGATCGGTCAGGACTCCCTTCTTCCCCTTAAAGTTGATTTGATGGGCCAGGACTCCCCTCTACCCCTTAAAGTAGCTGACCAGCAACTTGTGTTGCTAGGATAATAATTCCCTCCATGCCACATTGCATTGCCAGGCTGCTTACTTCCTATTTTTCTCCCACCCACCCCCAAAAAAGCAACAAAAGCAGCACAAGAGTAGAACCACACTTAATATCATCACTTTAACAGTAGTCAAATGATTGTTTTTGGGAGAAGTTTCGCCATGTCCATTGTCAGACACTTTATGTGACTATTCAACGCTCATGTTCAGGTCAGGTCAGATGTAAGCATTTGCTTAAGAAGGCCCAGGCATCTAGTCAGCCTTCCTAGACCAGATCATTTCACTCCAGTCCAGAGATACTTCTCAGTAACGCCTTTTAGGTTCAAATTTAGAGTCCAGTGGCGCCTTTAAGACCAACAAAGGTTTATTTAAGATATGATCTTTCGTGTGCATGCACACTTTTTCAAATACATTGGAACGGAAGCTAGAGTTCAAACTTATAGACGGAGGCTGAACAGCAAATTAACACATGACATGATGAAGTTGCTTTAAGATATGCAAAGACAAAACTAAATAACAAGCTAAGGTTATAAGGTCAACAGTTGTTTTGATTTAATTAACGGGGGAATCAAAATCAAAACAACTGTTGACATAAGCTTAGACCAAGCAACAAAGGAAAGTAAGGTTGTTAAAAAAGAATGGGAATCTCTAGAACAAAAACTTAAAGAGACATCACCTCCATAAACAGTTGACCATCGAATAAAAGAGCTGGAGGAGAAAATCAGGACCAGAGAGACTAAGATGAGGAAATATGATAGGGATATGAAGGATTACGAAACTGGCAAAATATATAAATGGACTTATGAAAAAACTACTACTAATAAAACGGTCACCTGGTTGGATAGACGTGATAGATCTACTGATGGTGAAACAACTGATGGGAAAGAACTGGTAACACATCCAGTGAGGAGACTACAAGGTTTAAGAGGGAGAAGCCATGTAAAAGTAAACAGGATACCCATTTTTTAAGGGCACGCCCAAACAAGGGCATCAGAAAAACCTAGTTATAAATATTTCCTCTAGAATATTGTCCGATTCTGAACTGGATGCATTAAATTTAGGTCTTGGTTATGTTCCCACTCCGCGTTATGATTCTTTTTCTACCAGAGTTGACGTCTTTAGACTCGTTAGAATGTTAAAACTTTAAAAAACAGTTTGGACTGACTGAATATAGTACTAACACATGTTTATCTAAGAAATCTTCTTTTATACCTAATGTACAAGATCCAGCTATTATAGTATTTGAACAGCAGGTACTGAGGGACATTGAGCATTTAGGAAAACGTTCAGTTAGGAGCAGATTCAATTTGAGCTATCATCAACGTCAGATCCTAGATGATTGGGCTCATGACTAAAATATTGTCATACAACAAGCGGACAAAGGGGGTGGTATTGTCATTATGGATAGAGTGGATTATATTGGTGAAACTGAAAGTCAATACCAACTTCTATGAACCCATTTCAGGACAACCGTATTTGGAGCCTTGTCACTGGGCTATATAGATAAGAAGCTGGCTGAATATCTTATTAATGATTTCCCTACGGTGCCAATTTTCTATACCTTTCCAAAAATTCATAAACCTGCCATGCCCCACCCCCTCCCCGGAAGACCGATTGTCTCCGGTTGTAATTCTGTGCTAGAACCCTTAGCTAAATGTATTGACTTCTTTTTGCAACCATGTGTTCAGAAATGTGTGGCATACATTAAAGACACAACTGATTTTATACACAAAGTAGAGAGTCTGATTGTTGACACTGATTGCATTCTTCTGACCTATCCGTGTGCGTACAGCTGTTCTTGTTGATCCTACATATTTTTATTACATCTACATAGCATTTATATTCCTTTCTACTGATTTGGCTGTGTTCCCGGTTTTTGTGTAACAATAAAGTCATCATCATTCTCAATCCAGAAAGTTGTATGTTGTCTTCTTACATTGTGTGGGGTTGGGTGGTGTCTCATCACCCCCCCCCCCCTTGGCAATAGGTCCGCAAATGGCATTTTGATGTCAGAGTGTATAATACAAGACCAATGGTCTGACTTCATCCAAAAGTGCTGTGATGATATAAGATGTCAATGTAACAGCTCTATGATACTATGCAAAAGAAAAAAAAAATGAGTTTCTTATTATCGCTAAGCTATATCCAATGGAGAATATTTTCCAGTAGTTTCTTCTATAAAAATTGTCACACAATACTACAGATTTTACATAAGATTTTGGTAAGAAGTGATTACTAAGAACATTCCGCAAGTGGAATCATTATATAAGCATGGCTATCAATCATATATGAATTCTGAGTTCTGCCTTTACCTGCACCAAATGGAAGAAATGCTTCTTTTTCTACAAAACTTCCATCCTGGTCCAAAAAATGATTGGGGTTGAACTCCTGAGGTTTCTCCCATTGCTTAGGATCAAGAAGAGCAGAGCGTAGATCTGGGAATATCTGGGCCTCCTGCAAAGATGAAACTGTTGACTCAGGATGCGTACGGATAGCAACATCAAACTTTTATTTATTTATTTATTTATAAAATAAGGATGATGTTTTATGGATTCGATTATTGTAACATGTTTTTAATATTGTAAATGTGCATTAATTGCAGATACATATATATGTGGTTACCCACCCTGACCCTATAATGTGGGGAGGGTGGGCTATTCCGCATGCAAGGCGGATATAAATCAAATAAATAAATAAATACAATTTAATGTATGAATCACCCCATTCGTGTTATCACAGGGCTCTGGGTGATGTAAAAAAGTAAAGGTAAAGGTTCCCTTGCTTGAAAGCCAGTTGAGTCCAACTCTAGGGTTGCGGTGCTCATCTCCATTTCAAAGCCGAAAAGCCAGCGCTGTCCGAAGACGTTTCCGTGGTCATGTGGCCGGCATGACTAAACACCAAGGTGCACGGAACACTGTTACCTTCCCACCGAAGTGGTACCTATTTATCTACTTGCAATTTCTTGCTTTCGAACTGCTAGGTTGGCAGGAGCTGGAACTAGAGATGGGAGCTCACTCCATCATGCGGCACCCAGGTCTCGAACTGCTGAACTACTGACCTTCCACAGCCTGCAGTTCAGCATCTTAACCACTTGAGCCACCGCAGCTCCGGACCTGGGTGATGTACAAGAACATTAAAAACACTGGCCAGATAAAAACAATAAATCATATTAAATTACATTTTAAAAGACAGATGGTGAATACCAGCACTTATTAATTGTTCCCATATTACAGACTGCTAGCCGCTTTGTGGACCAGGGGGGGGGGGAGAGGTCAAAATTGAGCATGGAAAGCAGAGGAGGGTGCCAGACGAGATGAAAATGGTTGCTGTCCTCAACCACTGTCTCAATACTAAACTTTTGTGTTTCCTAGTGTTTCCAGCCTATGGATGACATCTGGGGAGAGACTGGAGGGGGAGATCGTAGAATCATAGAGTTGGAAGGGACCTCCAGGGTCATCTAGTTCAAACCTCTGCAAAAGGCAGGAAATTCACAAATACCTCCCCCCCACACACACACACAGTGACCACTCTTCCATGCCCAGAAGGTGACAAAAAACCTCCAGGATCTCTGGCCAAACTGACCTGGAGAAAAATGGCTTCCTGAACCCAAAGTGGCGATCGGAATTTCCCTGGGTGTGTAAGAAAGGGCCACAAGAACTCGGCACTGAGGCAGCCCTTCCTGCCCTCCATCTCATGATCTGCCTCAGTTCAAAGAATCAGCACTGCTGTCAGATGGCCAGAGAGCCAGTTTGTTCTAGTGGTTAAGTGTGCAGGCTCTAATCTGGGAGAACCAGGTTTGATTCCCCACTCCTCCACTTGCACCTGGCTGGATGACCTTGGCCAAGCTGTAGTTCTGATAAGAGCTGTTCTTGAGACCTTCTGGGGCAACAGAAAACAACTCCCTACTATCCTCTCTGTGACAGCCCTTCAAGTACTTGAAGATGGTTATCGTATCATCTCTCAGTCGTCTCCTCTCCAGGCTAAACATACCCAGCTCCTTCAACGTTTCCTCATAGGACTTGGTCTCCAGACCCCTCAGCTTGTCTTTATCCAGCTTGTCTATATCCTTCCTAAACTGTGGTGCCCGAAACTGAACACAATATTCCAGGCGAGGTCTAACCAGAGCAGAGTAAAGTGGTACCATCACTTCGCGTGATCGGGACACTATACCTCTGTCGATACAGCCCAAAATCATATTTGCCTTTTTAGCAACTGCATCACACTGTTGACTCATGTTCAGTGTATGGTTGATGCCATCACATTGGGGGCATGGCATCATTTCTGGGTTGAACCGGGAAGTGGTCATGCCGCTTTAGAATTCAGTGGAAACCTGATGGTAAATCCATCAAGTTTTCACCAAAGACTAGAGTTGTGTGATTATCACAACCAGGTTCATTATGGTGGGCATTTCCCCCTTATTTTACTGTTCTGGCCTACTGAGTAGTAGTGGCAGTTGGTGGGCTGCTGACAGAAGGTTTCCTCCTATAGTGGGAGACCTGGAAACCCTACAGTTTCCAGCCCCCTACCCAAAGCTCCGGAACTGCCCAAGCCACTCCTAGCTTTCCTGCACCCAAGCCATATCCAAAGTAAAAATTATGAAAAATGAAAACAAATATGTTACGTATTTGTGAATATTTGAAGCCCTGTTAGAGCTTCAGGCCCAGGCCAAATGACCCTCCTGGAACCTGTTGGAAGTTCCAGATGCGATGTCCCCTGTCTCAGATATCCAGACTTCATGGCAAGAGAGGCTAAATAGCTAGACAGGCACCTTGATCTTTCTTCCTGTGTTTACTCTTCTGCCACTGTCCCCTTTGAAATACAGGTTGTGTTCTCAGGGACCATTTCCCCTTCCTTCTGTTTTCTCTCACTTACTTGAGGATGGTCTCTCTCCCTGCACGCACCAAGAGAGAGACATGCAGTCCTCTCCTAGCACCATTATCCAGATGGGCCTCTTGCCATCTGTTTCCATCCTTTAGCTAGTAAGTTAATACTCATTCCTGTCTCTGTTCTTTCTTATGCAAAGTGTACTTCTCAAATAAAGAGAGAAGTATTTATCTTTTAAACTTGCAACGTGGCTCTGAGTAGCTGAGTAACCCGGTAAAGTGATGCTCCTGTATTTGTAGCTTTATTTAAGCACTCTGCTAACTAGTGGTAACTGGACTAACCACATCACTTAACCCTAACAGGTTATGGGCCCAGCAGAACCCCCAGACTGGCCCTGGCTCTTTTCCATGTATACATGTTTTAATATCTTGGACCTTGAGAATCATAGCTTCTTTCTTCAACGAAGGCTCAGTTTCTAAGCATGAATCCATCAATTCACACTGATAAAACAAAACATCATATCTTGTTTTGCTTCTGGGTTTCCTTCTTGAGTCTGGTAGGCAACTTTGCCTCCGTTGGGAAACCAGAAGGCCCCAAGTGTGAGGAGAGCTTTGTATAGTGCTATCACTCCCTTATACTGCAGCATTTATGCTGAGAAAAGCTTTTAAGAAACACATGCTAAATGTGTGAACACTTCGGGTACTCATGGTAATCTGATCATTAGATGCATTTTTGAATGAAATTGAAAGGAACTACCAAAAATAGATCAACAAAGATGGGGAAAGTTAAATTGGGGTTGACATGAAAGATAGGGATGGACGAAAGTTGATGACAGATTTCAGCCACTTCGTGTTTTATGGACTGCAGAGCCACCACGAACTTCCACTAATTTTTAGGCAGTTTGTGGTGGTTCATGGTGGTTTGTGAAAAGCAGAAAACAAAGGTTTAAATGACTCCAACCCATTTAAATGCCAGCTTTCTGCTCCCACCCACCTTTCACGAGGAAACCCCTGCTTTTTGCTCCCAGTGAAAAACAGCTGAGCGGGGGAGGGGGATCAGAAAGCAGGGGTCATGAACCAATATAAACCGGTTTGGTTTGTGAACCACTTTCCCAGTTCATATCAGTTTGTGATTCGGTTTGTGGTTTAGCCACAAACCATAAACCAAAAAAACCCTGCAAAATGTGGTTCATGTCCACCCCTAGTTGACAGAATAATCCCTGTATTATTTGATATCATTTCTGGAACAGGGGTCAGGTCTGTAGCCTTCAAAAATTGCTGAAGAGGAAGGTGTTTATACATATACATGCACACACATATATGTATAATACAAAGTGCTATCTCTTATAGATATTGCTCTTAGAATCCAGAAGTGCAACCATAAGAATTTCCTGTACCTTTGGAATGAGAAAACCCAATATGTTCACATCCTTTGTACATTGTCTGGGGATGCCAAATAATAAGATATATTGCGAACGAATGATCTCATGAATCACAGCACTGGTATATGGCAGCTTCTTCCAATCTTGATAGCTGAAAGGTTGAGAGGAACCCAAAACATCTTCCATCTCCTTATGGACTTTCTCTGGGAAAAATATTTTAAAATGCATCTTTAGTCTGGAGACTACATTTTACAGTTGCCAACCTCCAGGGGCAGACTTGTAATCTCCTGAAATTAAAACTGATATCCCAGCTACAGAGATCAGTTCCCCTGGAGAAAATGGTTGCTTTGGAGGGTAGACTCTATGACAATAAACCTTCCCCTCCTAAAACCCTGACCTCCACAGGCTCCATCTCAAAATCTTCAGGAATTTCCCTTCCCAAGGTTGGCAAGCCCACAGCATTTGCCTTTATAAAGTTAATGATTCAGTGAAACCGATCACATGTTCAATATACATCAAGCTTTAGGGATTAAGGGAGACTTATCTGGGCAATGTAGCAGCACATTTTAAATATGAAAACAAACGAACTAATGAGTAGGGTTGTACTCGTAATTAGCTACTTAATATGAAAAAAGAATTACTAAAAATAAGAAGAAAAATTTATCTGGGGCATTCCTTGATTCAACACAAAATGGTCTCTTGCCTTGGATATCTGGGTGCTTTGCCATGAGGAGCAATGCCCATCGCAATGTCAAGGCTGTTGTTTCCGTTCCTGCGACGAAGAGGTCAAAAATACACTGAGTCAGATTGTCTTCATTGTAAGTAGAGTCGGGGTCCTTTCTGCTCTGTAATTTACAACAAAAAAGAGAGAAAGGAGTTACCAATTCTGAAGATTTTGACTCTGCAGCCATGGTTATAAAGGCTCTACACAATGTAGCGAGAAAGTCTTAGACCAGAAACGACGACACCCAAAGCCACATTCTATTAGAAACTTACCCAGGCATCAATTTGACCCATACTTCCAAGCATGCTTTCCCAGCCAAAATAAACACTGACAAAAGGTTGAGGAGCAAAGAGAGCAGTGCAAATCAAACACTGTTCAGAAGAAATTTAAAAAATCCTTCCATCAATAAACAAAATATTCAAAACATAGTGGTTAACTGTGTGGGCTGTAATCAAGGAGAACCGGGTTTGATCCCCCACTCCTCCACTTGCAGCTGTTGGATAACCATGGGCAAGCCATAGTTCTGTCAGAGCTGTCCTTGAAAGAGCAGTTCTCTCAAAGCTTTCTCATCCCCACCATAGGGTGTCTGTTGTGGGGAGGGGAAGGGAAAGGAATTTGTAAACTGCTCTGAGACTCTGAGTGAAGGGTGGGGTATATATCCAATCTCCTTCTCCTCTTCCTATTTATTAACTGTTAAGGACCCAATGTGTCCTTGTGCTTGAAGAAAATTTCATAAATACAACCATTCTGTCATGGGGAAAATATAAATAGATAGACACAAGAACACAACACATAAAGAATTTAAAAAATCTAAGAACAAAAGAATGGTCAGTGACCCGTGGCTAGCCAGCCAGTCACACTTTAAAAGGTTTTTCTAAAATCAATATTATAATCATTCCACTGAGTGACAGTAGCTGAAATCTCTCAGAAAAAGCTAATTTGGGACTTCTGGTTTTGGCTTCTGCAATGGCGGCTGCAAGCTCCCGGACCTCTGGGAGCCGCACGCCAGAGCTCGTGGTTGGGAGGGGGTGCGAACGTCCGCACCACCCCCGGAGCTCTTGTGAAGAGCTCTCAGCCATGGAGCACTAGATAGGTCCTGCCTCTGGCAACTGGCCGGTGAAGGGGGGCCTCTCCTTGCCCTGAAGGTCCCACCGCGATGCATCCGATATGGAACTAAGACAGCACACCGGGACAAGCGTTTGATGGTCGAGTGACAGGAAATCATTGAAGGTAAGTACTACAGTGGAAAGTGAGTGTTGTTGAAGCAGATAATCCAAAACAAAAGCGGAATCCCTCTTTAATGAACTGAGGGGGGGGGACCCTCTCTCGGGGAAATTTAAGCTTGGACTTGCCAAAGAAAAATATAAAGCGGGATGGAGCTTAAAGCAATTGAGAACTAATATAAAGAACTTTAGAGAACTCACCAGGCATTTTCAAAGGCTCCTGAGACTTTTGTAACTTTTAAAGAAGAATAAATAACTCCCAAAAATGTGTGTGTGTGTGTGTGTGTTCATTGTGTGTATTTTGTTTTATTCTTTCTCTTTTTCTTAATAAAAACCTTTCAGCTTGAACATCTACCTGTTTTATTGCAGCATTCTCCTAAGGGAAAAATCCCTGTACACATAGGTGGAGAATCCCAGTTACCTTAAAGCTCCTTGAAGCTAATTCCCCCAACTAATTAGGAGACCGCCTATTTGGGTAACAGTGACCAGAGAGGAGAGGTTCTTTCAGTCTTCTGAACCCAGAGGTCATGCAGCAAAACAGATATACAGGTTTCCAAGAATACATTTACATTTACCTTCATCATTGACATTTTTATAGAGTGTATTTGATTTCACGTGCAAGGTGGATACTTACTTTTTCAATCTGATATAGATAGAAATCAATGAAATCTTGTGGCTCGTGGACTGCCGGATTCTCCTTATGCTTTTCGATCTCCTTCCTTGCAAAAGAATGTATAACATCGCTGGAGGCAAGTGCCTTCCTGTGAGGCCCCGGGAGATATTTCATGAGCCATGGGAAAGTGTCATAAAACTACAGGAAAGGTGAATGTCAAATGGGGTCAGTACCATGAGATGGCTCAGTAACACAGTTGATGCACACTGATGCTGATGTAGGAACCCAAAATTATGTTTTATAAAGACATCAGCAAATCTGGACAATGCAGATTCTCTCCACATTCTAAAAGCGTCATGACCATTTCCAGGAGGAAACCAAGTTTGATCCACATACTTCATTATTGGGGAGGGGGAAGGAGCCAATATTTCCCAGTGCTCATCCCAAACTTTAATGCAAATAAAAAACTATTAGAGTTAACCTCTTTTGGTCTATTTTTTGGTCTCATCCATAGCCATTTTAATGTATATTTTTGGCTTGGGAATTCTGGAATGCACACCCTAATGCAGTGATGGCAAATCTTTTAGAGACCGAGTGCCCAAACTGTGACCCAAAACCCACTTATTTATCGCAAAGTGCCAACACGGCAATTTAACCTGAATACTGAGGTTTTACTTTAGAAAAAACAACTCTTACATTAACTTAAGATGATCCAAACAAAGTAAGGAAAGCAATCCCAAATGCTTTCATTTACTTAAAATTATTTGGCAGAGAATTCGACACTTTAATGATGGTCTGGGCCTGGCAGGGGTGATGGCACATGTGCCCACAGAGAGGGCTCTGAGTGACACCTGTGGCACCCATGACGTAGGTTTGCCACCACTGCCCTAATGTATGTGCACGCATGCCCACACACACTGAATGAGACTCCTGTCCAGACCAGTAGTGGATCTTAAGTGAGGGCCGGTTCACAAAGTATGTATTCCTACTAGGGTTGCAAAATCGACTTACCTCTGCCGGCGGGGGACTTTGTGCTGGTTCCCGGCGCGCGCGCCGCATGCACATCACAGGGAAGTGACGTCATGACGCCGGGCACGCTGGGGGCGGGGCACAGCCATTTGAGGGGAAAACTCTATGTTTTCCCCTCAAATGGCTGTGCCTCGTCCCCAGTGTGCCCGGCGTCATGACGTCACTTCCCTGTGACGTGCACGCGTGGGGGGGTTCCCCCAGGGCCCGATTCCGCGGGGGCGGAAATCGGGCCTCCAAAGCGGGGGGAAATCCGCCCCCCCGGGGGGAGTTGGCAGCCCTAATTTCTACCACAAAACATTTCTGTCAAATGCGATAGGACTTCCGTGCCTCTCAGATGCATGTGGGCCCAATCCTGATTACAGTTGCACCACACAGATCGGAGCAGCTTCAGCCTTCCCACCGCACCATTTTGTCATCTCGAAATTTTTTCAATAATACTTTTTAATGTGCCCTTATACTATTTAAGGAGCTGTGGTGGCTCAAGTGGTTAAGAAGCTGAACTGCAGGCTGTGGAAGGTCAGTAGTTCAGCAGTTCGAGACCCAGGTGTGCCGCATGATGGAGTGAGCTCCCGTCTCTAGTTCCAGCTCCTGCCAACCTAGCAGTTCGAAAGCAAGAAATTGCAAGTAGATAAATAGGTACCACTTTGGTGGGAAGGTAACAGCATTCCGTGCGCCTTGGTGCTTAGTCATGCCGGCCACATGACCACGGAAACATCTTCGGACAGTGCTGGCTCTTCGGCTTGGAAACGGAGATGAGCACCGCAACCCTAGAGTCGGATTCGACTGGCTTTCGAGCAAGGGAACCTTTACCTTTACCTATACTTTTTAGTTGAGTAGTGCTGATTACATAGATATTTTGTATCGGGAGACAATTCAAAGAAAAGGCGTGAGCTGCCTAAGAACTGATCTCTGATTATGAAAAGAATGTTAACGGCTTTTTAACTTTATATCAAGAAGTCTTTTCTCTCTAAAAAAAGGGGGGGGACCATTTTTCCGATGGATTGTACGAATCCCTCTCGTTATGGCTCTCATCGAAGAAGACCGTACATTTCTCTTGTAAAAAGTAATCCCAGACTATGGCATACCAAGAGGCGGTTGTGGGAGGTTTGGTTTCTTTCCAGGAACGAGCAATTGTGGCTTTGTCTGCTGTCAATAGTATACTAATTAGTTCTCTTTCCACTGCATCTTGAAATAGCCCCAAAGAACCCCATTTGCTCCATTGAGGAAAGCTGCATGTAGCCATCATTACACATACTGCTGGAGGGGTTTCTACCAGCAGATCATAGTTTTGCTCAGAACTGGACCTGCATTATGAAAGCACAGAAGTGAGAAGAAGAAGACGAAGATGAAGACAAAGACGATGAAGAAGAAGAAGAACGTTTTATAGCCTGGCCTTCACTACCTGAAGGAGTCTCGGATTGGTTTACAATCACCTTCCTTTCCTCTCCCCACAACTGAAACCCTGTGTGATAGGTGGGGCTGAGAGACCTCTGAGAGAGCTGTGACTGACCCAAGGTCACCCAGCTGGCTTCATGTGGAGGAGGAGTGGGGGAATCAAACCCTGTTCTCCAGATTAGAGTCTGCCACTCTTAACCACTACACCAATGGCTCTCAATGTAAAATGGGTGGAGACACAGGTTTTATGAAAGTTCTTGCTTCAAGGAGGAGGGGGCTTTTAGTCTTTTGGCACTGGACCTTCAAAAAGGGGCAGCCTATGGGTGGGCTGTTCCCTCCAGCAAAGAACATGCAGCTGCTGGAGTGACCTTGGGTCAGTCACAAGTTATTCCAGAGCTGTTCTGTCAAGGGCAGTTCTCTCTCCCAACTGCCTCACAGGGTGTCTATTGTGGGGAGAGGAAGGGAAAGGAGATTGGAAGCCGCTCTGAGACTCCAAGAGAAGGGCGGGGTATAAATCCAATCTCTTCTCTCCTTCTCTTCTTCCAGAGAAAGGTGGCGGGGGGGAGCCCATTCCATTTATTTCCAGCCTCATCCTAGCCACCCTTTTAGAAATGCATTATATCCCGCTGACATCCTCCCCCTCTCTAAACCCCACCCTTCCTAGGCTCTGCCCCCTAAATATCCAAGAATTTCCCAACCCGCTGTTGGCAATCCTAGCTAGAATTGGTTATGAGGCTGAGTTTTGTAGGAACAGAGATAAATTGTATTGCTATGTAATGATCTGTTGCATGGCTTTATGATTTCTCTGCTGTATATGTATTGTATCTCAATACATTTTTTTAGTTCACTTCAGGTAAACTGCTGCGGCAATGTTCTTCAGTGACTTAGCATGACCCATTTGGGGAAAACAGGACACAGAATTACACCACATACATCAACTAGCTGATCTAGGAAATTAACGTAACAAAAGAATGATCAAACAGCAGAGGTACGGTGTAAAAAAACGTTCAAATCAAAACCCATGGGGAAAAAGGCATTCACTGTATTTTCTACTTTTCTGCTGTTCATCATCAATATCAATACATTTTCTGATCCTGACAGAACCCATTCAAACCATTAAAGTTGGACTAGATGACCCTGGAGGTCCCTTCCAACTCTACGATTCTATGAAGTTTTACTCAGTCAATGAATCTGAAATTCTTCTGCATTCCTAGTCAAGTATTCCTGTTAAGGCTGAAAGTAAAAGAATTCTGGGAGATGGCTATCTGCCCAGGGGTGTGGAATGCAGGGCCGGCCTGTCATTGTTAAATTTTAGACCGTCGCCTAGGGCGACGACTCGACGAGGGCGCCGTTCTGGCTGGCCTCGTCCCCTTCTCACCCTACACAGGAAGCCTCGCTTGCCGGCTTCTTGCTCTGTCTCTGGCAATGAGGGGAAAGTGCCGCTCGCTCTCTGCCACCCCCTCCCCATGGTCTCTTTGGAGCTCCTTTTGCAGCCTGGCACAGGCCCCCTTCCCTCAAGTGATCCCCCCGCATGCATTTGCAGCTCCCCCCCCCTTGGCCTGTCCACTGCGGCTCTGGCGCCCGCCCCCATCCCGCACAGGGGGGGGGGCGCCAGAATGTATCCTTGCCTAGTGGGTGAAAAAACCTGGGGCCATCACTGGTGGAATGATATCGTATCATAGAATCATAGAATCACAGAGTTGGAAGGGGGCATGCAGGCCATCTAGTCCAACCCCCTGCTCAATGCAGGATCAGACTAGAGAATCCCAGACAAGTGTTTGTCCAGACACTGCTTAAAAAGTGCCAGTGATCAGGTACAGCCTGATCTTGTTAGTTCTCAGAAGCTAATCAGGGTTGGTACTTAGATGGGAGACTGCCTAGGAAGATTTTGCAGAGCAAGGTTATGGCAAACCACCGCAGCTTAATCACTTGCCTCGATGGTGTTTTACACACACAAACACCGTTCTGACCTAATTGGGGGGGGGGGAGAGAAAATGACTTGCATTTTGATAGATGGTAGCTGGAAATTTTGAGATACACTCAATGGCTTCCACCATCTTGAGGAATTCTTTATCTTCAGCCCAAAACCGAAGGCCAAAAGCCACAGGACAGATCACATTGGAGACGGAAATAGTGATGGGCACTGAAGAGTCAAATGGATGCCCTGCAAATAAAGTTGGTTGCAAAATATTAATATTTTTATCCCCTTCTGTGAATACTCAGAGCGAACGTCATTAGTGGGGTTTGGTAAGAGAAAGTGACTCCTTTGCAGTCTTAAGACTTGGTTATATATTAGAAAATATATTTTTAAAAAAAAAACGTTATCAAGGTATTTTCTGAAATGTACAACATATACAAAGTTTGAGTCCAGTGGCACCTTTAAAGACCAACAAAGTTTTATTCCAAGTGTAAGCTTTCACGTGCAAAGCACACTTCTTCAGAAAAATGTTGAGAGAATTGATACCATTTCAGGAATCAATTCTGGGGAATTTGGGAGGTTCAGGAATCCTCACCTCCTGAAAAGTTCTCCAGTTGGGGGTGGGGATTGAATGAGAAGCTCTCTGTGTTTGTACTCACAAGAAGAGCTAGAGAGGGGGTTTGAGTGCATCTACTATGGCCCAATCCGCATTTGCTATGTACAGCTGTTCTGTGCTGCTGTGGTGCCGGCTGCCCATTTGGGTCAGTATGAAGCTCTCCTTGGTCTGCATCAGGACACAAGTTGTTTAGGGAGAGTGTGCGAGGGGGGGGGGAGAAGCAGGGCCAGCCCAGGTTTTTTTTTTTGAGCCCTAGGCGGGGCTACCTTCTTGCGTCCCCCCACGTGCCTGGAGGGAAGGAGGGCATTCCACACCTTGACTACTTCTCTGCACACGCTGGGGGGCACTCTGCTCCCATGACATCTCCTGCCACCATCGGAATGAGGGTCGCTGCGCCTGATCTGCCTTGGGACGGGGATCCCTTTGGCTGGCCCTGGGTGGGAGACAGAGATGCCACCGCCCTACCTGCTGGCAGGAGGAGACTGAGCACCAGGCCCAGCAGCACCCAGGTGGGCAGCTGGGAGGGTCTCATCTTGGACACATCTCCGGCTGCCTCAGCACCTCTCCTGCTCGCCCTCCCTGCAGACTCAGCACTGCCTCTCGAGCAGCTCTATGGTTGTGCTGACGAGCCGTCCCCCCATCCACCGTCCCGCGGGAGCCAATCGGGAGGGCACCCATGAGCGCATCATCAGTCTCCAGGAGAAGCCCGGCTGCCTGGCTCACCCCACCCCAGGGCCTCTGCCCATGGAGTTCCCACTTCTCTCCCCCGGATGGACCCAGCCTGCTGGGCTTGGTACAGAAGCGAGCTCCCTTCCCTCGTGCAGCCTTGCCGCAGGCTGAATTGGGTTGGGGAGCCACTGTGCCTTTTTTGGGGGTGAGGTCAGGTCCCCTCCGGCTCCGCTGCAGCTTGCTAGTTGTGGTCGGCAGTCGCGGGCCTCCCACGTGGAGCCACCTCCTCCTTCCTCGGCCCGCCTGCTCCAGATGGTGCAGCGCAGTGCAACTCCACCGCTGGCAGGCAGATCAGTGTTGCTCACCTTTCATATGACCGGCGGCGCTCGGGGGAGGGGAGGCGAGGAAGAGGGTTTTGGTAGGGGGGCTTTTGACGGGGGGCGTTTGGTGCCCCTAAGGCCCGGCGGGCTCTAGGTGAATGCCTAGTTTGCCTAGTAAGTGAGCCGGCCCTGGGGAGGAGGGACCTCCCAGGGGCATCAGCAGGGTCCTGCACTGTGCTGCACTGCAGGCAGGAAATAGCTCCTGTGACCCCCCCCCCAAAAAAGTAAAAGGGGGTGACCTGGCAGAGGGGGAGGCAGGAGGGGGGTAGGAAAGACAGAACGAGATGGCTAAAAAACACAAAACACCCAGCAGTTGCCAGGCAGATGGTTCTGGAGACTGCCCCAGGAAAACAAATGGTTCAGTGGTGGTTGTGCTTCCAACCCCCCCCCCCCCAACAACACCCCAGCCCTCCCAAATGTTCCCTGGCTGCTTTTAAATGCAGACAACTGGTATTTCAGCTAACTTGTTTCCTTTGTGACAATTCGTGTATCTCCTTAGAAAAGATGTGGGGGAGAGAATTCAGCTCCAGTTGTCTGCTTTTTGCTCACAGCGGCTCGACGGTGGAGAGAAGCAGTTGTACCACCTAAAAACCACGTTCACATAAGGCGGTGAGATGCTGTAGTGACCTCGGACTCACTACTAAATGGCAACAAAACGATGCAGACAGCCGATGCTGAGATGAAGCAATAGGAGAGTGGATGTGGCATGAAATACAGACAGAAATTTGTGAGACGATGTGAGATCATTGGCACAATGGTGAGAAATACCAATGCAGATTGGACCTATGTTTGTCTGTATGTGGTGGAGATGCCCACTGGGGCACTTGCTGTTAGGTGGTTGACTTTTTTAAAAGGTAGATACAAAAACAGTCTTTCAAGCTGATGAAGAAACAAAGCAATTGGGATGACTCCGTTTCAGATTAGGCTTGCGGTCCCTTTACCATCTTTCTAACCAGATGATTTGCCATGTTGAATTAGATACAGTCACACTCTGAAATCATCAGTTCATTAGTTTAGAGAATTATATGTTGCTTTTTTGTGGTCAACTGTCTTCCTGAAGGGGGCCGAAGGAAAATCATTTTGAAATCACAATAAAATGCTAGGGGGCACATTTAATAGCTTGGTGCTTCTCATGCAGGAGAGGCAGGAGGATAATGGAGGGGCCCCGATAGGGGAGCCAGTTTGGTGTCATGGTTAAGTGCGCGGACTCTAATCTGGGAGAACTGGGTTTGATTCCCCACTCCTCCACTTGCAGCTGCTGGATGACCCTGGCCAAGCCATAGTTCTGTCAGAGCTGTTCTCTCAAAAGCAGTTTTGGAAAGAGTTCTCTCAGCCCCACCGACCTCGCAGGGTGTCTGTTGTGGGGAGGGGGAGGGAAAAGAGTTTGTAAGCCACTCAGAGACTCCGAGTGAAGGGCGGGGTATAAATCCAATGTCTTCTCTTCTTCTATAGAGGAGGAGGAGGAAGAAGAGAAGAAGACTTCGGTTTTATATGCTGTTAGGAAGGTTTGAGAGAGATCCGAGAGAACTGTGACTGACCCAAGGTCACCCAGCAGGCTTCATGTGGAGGAGTGAGGAATCGAACCTGGTTCTCCAGATTATAGTCAGTCACTCTTAACCACTACACCATGCTGGAGACCCCTTGCCTCCCCACCTGTTCCCCACCCCATTAACCCCAGAGCTTATTTGCAGGAGATTCTAGTTTATAACTGATATGGTAACTTCTAAGCTACTGGTTATTTATAGTCCAGTGTGGCGGTGCTGACTTATGGCGACTGCACAGTGTTTCCAAGGCAAAAGATGTTCAGAGGTAGTTTGCCATTTCCTGCCTCTGTGTCATGACCCTGGTGTTCCTTGGAGGTCTCCCATCTAAATACTATCCAGGACTGACCCTGCTTAACTTCTGGGATCTGATGAGATTGAGCTAGACAGGTAAATTAATCCAGACTTCAGTGGGAAGTAAAAAATGGTCTACAGGAACCATTGGTCAGCCCAGTTTCCTGACATCATATACCTTTTGCACGTGCAAAAGTCTCAACAAGCTGATGGGCCTCCTCTTCTATTTGGTGCTCCACGCCTTTCTTCCCCAGTCCCAGCTTCCGCATGGTGGCTAGCCCGAACTTCCTCTGCTGCTTCCACGTGTGGCCATTTGACAATATGATACCTAAGGCGCAGAAGAATAAATGAAAAATTAGTACTGAAAGAAATTACGTTTCAAAAAGAGTTTAACTTAGCCTAGAAAACATCAAGCTGATTGATTAAATATGCATACGTATTGAAAAGCTACCCCTTCTCTACAAACCAGACAACTGCAATGCTCATACAGAAACAGTCCCTGGCCCATTCTGCCTCTAGCATTTGCTCCGCTGTTTTACCAAACCCACGTTGGAACAGAGATTCCCCTCTACATTGCATGCCACTTTCACTTTCTGTGATTGTCGGATTTTATGGTAGCCTCCACACTGCATGCCGGTTTCACTTCCTTTGATCTCTCAGTTTTTTGGTAAAGGTAAAGGTTCCCTTGATCGAAAGCCAGTCGAGTAAGACTCTAGGGTTGCGGTGCTCATCTCCGTTTCAAAGCCGAAGAGCCAGCGCTGTCCAAAGACATTTCCATGGTCATGTGGCTGGCATGACTAAACACCAAGGTGCATGGAACGCTGTTACCTTCCCACCAATGTGGTACCTATTTATCTATTTGCAATTTCTTGCTTTCAAACTGCTAGGTTGGCAGGAGCTGGAACTAGGGACAGGAGCTCACTCCGTCATGCAGCAACTCGGGTCTTGAACCGCTGAACTACTGACCTTCCACAGCCTGCAGTTCAGTGTCTTAACCACTTGAGCCACCACAGTCTGCATAGATTTATGGCCATTTTATGGCCGTTCATGGGTGGCTCTGCAGTCAGTGTGGCATTGGCTCGGGGGATTTGAATGTGGTTTTCAGCTGTATTTTTTTCTGTTCCCGTGTGGGTTTGGTAAAACAATGGGGCGAATGCTAGATGCAGAATGGGCCCCTGTCTGGTTCAGTGACATGTCTCGGATATTGACCAGCTCCATTTGCCTTCTAATCTGATCTGTTCATTGTCTTTTTCAAACGTTGCCTTGAGGGTCCTAATTTGCATACCAAGACAGCTAAGTGTATTTTGTTGCCTGCGTGTACCTGTAATGATCAAGAATGTCCACTGTGAGAAAGCACCTCTGATGCTTCAGCCAGTTGTGGCGAGTGCAGCAGAACCAAGTTGGCAGCAGCTCCTCCAATATATAGTATTCGATGGTGCCTGAAAAAGAGCTTTCAGGGTCTGTTTCAGGAAATGCCTTAAAATGATGGGATATTACCAAACATCCCTTCGCCTTGCCAGAACTGTCTGCAGCATGCAACCTGGGAGAGTCCTAAGGATGCTATGGCCAGAGGTTGATTTGGGGGGGAACGCGGGGGATCGCAGTTCCCCCAGGTGAGGTGCGGGGGGTGGGGCACACAACGAAGCCCCCCCCCCTGCTTCCAGCTGCCCCGCTTCTGGCCCTCATTCAGCCAGGAGGAGGCAGGAGAAGAGGGAGGGTAAGTTGCTTCCTCCCTGCCTCTCCCCATCCCTGCCTGCCTGGGGCCAGGGAGGGCCTTGGCGGGACTTCCTCGCACTCCCACCGGCCTTGCAGGTCCACCGCCAGGCCTTATGATGTCAGGGGGTGTGGTATATGCTAATGAGTTATGCTAATGAGTTCCCCTAGCTCTTTTTCTACTAAACGACCCCTGGCTATGGCAGTCATAAAGTCTTAAGGAGACACTAGGCAAGGCAGCATTGGCATGGACATTGAAGCCCCCCAAGACTATCAGTTTGGGAAAATGCAAGGCCCACTCCGCCTTGCCTCTACCAGCCTCAGCAGGGAGTCAGCTGTTAAGATGGGTGGATGGTAACCCAGCAAGACTCCGACCCTCTCTCTGGCACCCCACGCCAGGCCTAGAAGAAGAAGAGATTGGATTTATACCCTGCCCTTCACTACCCAAAGGAGTCTCAGAGCTGCTTTCAATCTCCTTTCCCTTCCCCTCCCCACAACAGACACCTTGTGAGGTAGGTGGGGCTGAGAGAGCTCTGACAGAAATGGCTCTTTCTCAAGGTCTCGGGGCAGCAAGAGGAAGCTTGTGGGCTTAACATGCATGGGAAACTCTAGGTGTTTATACACAAATGCTAGAAGTCTCCAAGGTAAAATTGGAGAGTTGGAATGCTTGGTGTTGGGGGTGGGAAAATAGACATTGTGGGTATTTCAGAAACGTGGTGGGATGAAAATCAGGGGGATATGGTGATTTCTGGTTATAAATTATATTGAAAGGATGGGGGGAAGGGTTGGAGGTGGGGTGGCTCTGTATGTCACAGAGGGTATACAGTCCAGTAAGACTGAGAGGGTAAGAGAATTGGATTCACTTCTGGAAATGTTATGGGTTGAAATAGTGGGCCGAAAAGGAGTTTGTTAGCACCCACCAGATCCAAAGATAGAGGAGGATTATAAAATGATGAATGAATTAAAGATAGCGGCTAGACAAAATAACTGTGTCGTAATAGGTGATTTTAACTACCCACACATTGTTTGGGTCAATAGGTGTTCTAGTCGGGAAAAAGAGATTGAGTTTCTAGACACTTTCAAAGACTGTGCTATGGAACAGATGGTCACAGAACCTACCAGGGAAGAGGCAATCCTGGATTTGGTCCTAAGTAACATCCAAGACCTGGTGAGAGATGTAAAAGTGATTGCACCACTTCGGAACAGTGACCATGATGTTATTGAGTTTAACATTTGTATAAATAGGGAGTTGCCCAAAAAGACTGATGCAACAACTTCTAACTTTAAAAGGGGTAACTTCTCTGATATGAAGGGACATGTGAGGAAGAAATTGAAAGGAAAAGTGGAAAGGGTCAAAACCAATGGGGAAGCTTGGAGACTATTTAAAACTACAATCCTAGAAGCTCAGAAAAAATATATATACCACAGGTTAGGAAAGGCACAAATAGGTATAGAAAAAAACCCTGCATGGTTAACAAATAAAGTAATGGAAGCTGTAAAAGGTAAGAAGGATTCCCTTAAGCGGTGGAAAGCTAGTCTCAGTGAGGCTGATAAAACGAAACACAGGCTATGGCAAATAAAATGCAAGTCTGTGATCAGGCAGGCAGAAAGGGAATATGAGGAACATATTGCAAAAAACATAAAGACCAACAAAAAACCTTTCTACAAATACATTAGAACCAGGAAACCAGCCAGGGAGTCAGAGGGCCCTTGGATGACCAAGGGGTAAAAGGAGTACTGAAGGATGATAAGGAAATGGCTGAGTAGCTGAATGCATTTTTTGCCTCTGTCTTCACTGTGGAAGATGAGAAATGCTTGCTCCCTTCAGAACCACTGATTTCGGGAGGGGTGTTGAAAGACCTGAATCTGACTGAGGTGATGAGAGAAGATGTCCAACGACTGATGGACAACTTAAAAACTAATAAATCACCAGGCCCAGATGGCATACATCCGAGAGTTCTGAAAGAACTCAAATGTGAACTTCTGGATCTCCTGACAAAAATATGTAATCTTTCATTAAAATCTGCCTCAATTCCTGAGGATTTGAAGGGAGCTAATGTCACTCCCATCTTTAAAAAGGGTTCCAGAGGAGATCCGGGAAATTATAGGCCAGTCAGTCTGACATCGATAGCAGGCAAGTTGGTGGAAACTGTTATTAAGGAAAGAATTAGTAAGCACACTGATGAACAAAAACTATTGAGGCAGACTCAGCATGGCTTCTGTAAGGGAAGATCTTGTCTTAGTAACCCATTAGTGTTTTTTGAGGGAGTGAACAAACATGTGGACAAGGGGGACCTAATAGATGTTGTTTACCTTGACTTCCAGAAAGCTTTTGATAACATTCCTCATCAAAGGCTCCTAAGTAAACTCAATAGTCACGGGATAAAAGGACAAGTCCTCTTGTGTATCAAAAACTGGCTAATAAATAGGAAACAGAGTTAGTATAAATGGGAAGTTTTCTCAGTGGAGGGTAGTAAGCAGTGGGGTACCACAGGGATCAATACTTGGTCTGATGCTTTTTAACTTGTTTATAAATGATTTGGAGTTGGGAGTTAGCAGTGAAGTGGCTAAATTTGCAGATGACACAAAGTTGTTCAGGGTGGTGAGAACCAGGGAGGATTGTGAGGCACACAATGAAAATGTCTAGACAGTGTGCGAATGCAATAAAAAAGGCCAACAATATGCTGGGGATTATTAGGAATGGAATTGAAAATAAATCAGCCAGTATCATAATGCCCCTGTATAAATCAATGGTGCAATGTGAACTTGTAGATCTCCTGACAAAAATATGTAATCTTTCCTTAAAATCTACCTCCATTCCTGAGGTCTGGAAGGTAGCTAATGTCACTCCCATCTTTAAAAAGGGTTCCAGAGGAGAACCGGGAAATTACAGGCCGGTCAATCTGACGTTGATACCGGGTAAACTGGTGGAAACCATCATTAAAGAAAGAATTAGTAGGCACATAGATGAACAAAACCTATTGAGGCAGACTCAGCATGGGTTCTGTAAGGGAAGATCTTGTCTCAAAAACCTGTTAGTGTTCTTTGAGGGGGTGAACAAACATGTGGACAAGAGGGATCCAATAGATATTGTTTACCTTGACTTCCAGAAAGCTTTTGATAAAGTTCCTCATCAAAGGCTCCTAAGTAAGGTCAAAAATCATGGGATAAAAGGACAAGTCCTTTTATGGATCAAAAACTGGCTAATTAATAGAAAACAGAGAGTGAGTATAAATGGGCAATTTTCTCAGTGGAGGGTGGTAAGCAGTGGGGTACCGCAGGGATCAGTACTTGGTCCACTGCTTTTTAACTTGTTCATTAATGATTTGGAGATGGGAGTAAGCAGTGAAGTGGCTAAATTTGCGGATGATACAAAGTTGTTCAAGGTGGTGAAAACCAGTGAGGATTGTGAGGCACTCCAAAGGGATCTGTCAAAGATGGGCAAGTGGGCGTCAACATGGCAAATGGGGTTCAATGTGGCCAAGTGCAAGGTGATGCACATTGGAGCCAAAAATCCTAAATATAAATACACATTGATGGGGTCTGAACTGGCAGAGACTGAGCAAGAGAGAGATCTTGGAGTTGTAGTAGATAACTCACTGAAAATGTCAAGAC